CTAGAAAGTAAGTCCCATGAGTCCAAAGAGCATGGCTGTCTTCTGCAGCCCTAAACCCCTCAGTTCTGGGACCAGGAATAATTGTCGCATGCCTGAGTCTGATATTTCGAGTACCTTCGATTGTGCCATTTATCTTTCGAGTTTCTGCACAGTCCAAATGAGTACTTGATTTGTATGCTCATGTCTCCTGCTATAGACTGTTAGTTTCTTCTTTTATGGAAGAGAAGTGTTGAATGCATGTTTGTACATCCCAAGACGGGCAGTGACGATATGTTTTAATAAGCGTTAAATGTGGCAACTAAATATAAATAAGTTAGAACAGGACAGGAAATAATGCTCTTGAAGTGTTAGTATCTATGCAGGGGGGAAATCTAGTAGGTTGATTTTAGATTTGAGGACAGAGGGTCCTGGAATGGAGGTGTCACATTCCTTCCTGCACTGAGCCCATAGCTCTGCACGGGTTTGGTTTCTTTCAGAGGTGGAGTGTTCACAGACTCTGAACACACCCCTGCAGGCTCAGCCCTAGGAGGGCAGCAGGTGACATTGGGGAGTCTTGCTAAGATGACCATCCCCTGAGGTCAAGGTAAATTTTTACAAGATCCTATAAATACTTTTTACAGACTATCTAAAATTTCTCCCTTACCCTAATAACTTTTATAAATAAGATGTGACATAATGACCTGGAAAAGCAGAAGCTCCCTAAGGTCAGATAACCCATCACGTTGGCGATGTAAGGGTCACCAGTTTTGAAGCACTGAAATTATCTGTAGAATACAAATGTGCCTCACACTTTCCATAACTGAGGAATGAAAATGTTTGAGATCTGAAAGGCCAAGCACTGCTCTTGAGAAGATGCCAGTCCCATGTCCCCTGTGGGTAGGGATTAGTATTTGCGGAGTCATCAATCATAACACTCCAGATCTAGCAGAGACTCAAAGATTCCCATCTATCTCCACGTGCCCCACTGGTCCAAGTCCTGCCTTATTTCCAGGCTTTACTCTCTTCCTTAGGCAAGTGTAGCTGATAACCAACTTAATGTAAAAATATCCTCTGTCAAAGTTCTTTTTATAAATCTAATCCATATCTGTCTTGTTGCAGCTTTCAACATTTCATTAGGTATGCTAATCCATCCATAAACGAATATGTATAGAGGGCCCTTTGATTCACCAGGAGCTGTGTGTAGAAACTAAAAGCAGAAAGTGTGCCATTCATGATTAATGGGTGGAGCAGAAAATAACCTCTTTGAAGTTCAGAGGAAGGAGAGAGTGGAACAGGAGGAGCTGGAACCAGGTCTTAAAAGGTGGTTGGGATATCAAGAGTAAATATTGAGTAAACCAAGAGAAAAAGGAAGGGCGAATGGCACAGGGGAAATGGTGTGCGGAGCACCACAGCTTTGGGAAGGAAACAGGGAGACCAGTTTGCCTGGAGAGGCCTTGGGAAGGGGCGTAGCTGGGGGCAGGTCTGAGGGGCGCATCGGAGCCAGTCTACCTAGGACCTCGAACGGCGCACTACAGAGGACGCCTCTGGGCCATAGACCAGTGGGTACAGGAAAGTGTCCGTGATGCATGTTCAAAATTGCTTTGCTGATAGAGAAGCACGTTCCTAAAAGTTTGGAGGCAGACTATAGACCATAAGGAGCGATTAAAGGTTTGCATGCAGCCAGGGACAGGCTCAAAGCAGTGTTTCAGGAAAATGAATCTGGCAGCGGCTACACAGAGAGGACTGGAGGAAGCAGTTTAGCTGCGGATTGCAGCAATTTAAAGGGCTTCAATTATGGTCGCCACACTGGGAATGGAAAGGAGGGGAGGGGACCAGAGGCATTTTGATGATCTTATCCTTGTTGGGGTGAGATTTTTCCTTAGCAGTCAGTAGCCTTCAGCAGTTACTTTGGGAGCTGAGAATGAAGCAGTGCTCAGGGAGATGAGGGTTTTTTGTTTAAAACTGATGGTAAACATTTATTGATACTGCCAAATGGGTTGTGGTCTAAAAACCTAAACTTAAGTGGAACGAAGAATAAAAATTATGATTAATTATTGGTTAAAATAGGTTTAGATAACTTCATAACTAATTTTATGTGCACAAGAAAAATCTTTGAAAATCTAGATAACATCCTCTCCACCGTAACCCTAAAAAGGAGCCCTTGAAACAAGAGTTAACAGCCCGGCCGGTGTGGCTCAGTGGTTGAGTGTCAGCCCATGAACCAGGAGGTCTCGGTTCGATTCCCGGTCAGGGCACATGCCTGGGTCGTGGCCTCGATCTCCAGTGGGGAGCGTGCAGGAGGCAGCCGATCAAGGACTCTCATTATTGATGTTTCTATCTCTCTCTCCCTCTCCTTTCCTCTCAAAATTCAATAAAAAACCATTTTTTAATAAAAAACTTAAAAGAAGAAGCAAGAGTTAACAGAAGCAGAGTGATGACACCCGTGCATTACAACACAGCTTGGGCTTTTTAGCTGCTGTTTGGTCTTGAGAAAGGTTCCCAGAAATGTTCTCATCTCGGTGCTGGTTGGAGACGTATTACTTCCCGACAGTCCCCGACTCAAGTACAAACATACTCGCTCTTCCTCACACAGAGCCATCTTCACAAGAAATAAAATGTAAAGAACCACGTTGGCGACTGCGAATTCGTAAGAGAAGCTGTGGTTCCTGTGCTTGGTTTGCCACCGTCTTCTTCAAATTTGTCTTGTTAAACTCTCCCCGTCTGATGTTTTTGCCACGTAGAACTCTTAACAAAAGTGTGATTCAGAGTTCAGATCTGTCATTAACCGGGCTTCTCCATTTCACCTTGCAGATAAGAAAGCCATCCAAGTAATGACAATGAAGAAGAAATAGCATGTTTTAAAACGCCAGCTAGATCAGGCCGCTGACCCCTACATGACACTAGCATTAGCTTCGAAATATATTGATGAAAGAGCCCAACTATCAGGCAATTTAAATAAGAGAAACAAATGCACATATTTTAACTTTAATCAGACACCAGATATAAACTTAACATTTGTCTTAATCAGCTAAAAGGGGCTAAAGATTGAGTGTGCATGTGTATAATTATTTTGGCTGAAAGTGAGTAGAATGTAGTATAGAAAAATATAGCATATTGGCGCACATCGAAACAAATGAGCTGATGGAAAGGTTTCTGTGAGCATAATTTATTTATTTAATGGCTTGGTCAACAAGAGCTCTTGATGCACTAAATTTTGACTAGACCCATCTGTGCTACAGAAGTAGATAAATGTAACAGCAGCTGAAGCAGATGTAGAAGTTAAAGCAGATCTGATTATCGAGGCTATGGGGGTGCTTTCATCTGTGTTATTTGGGCTTTGGTTTCACAAAAAGAGCCTATCTTAGCAACTTTCTAAACTGTGGAGGCACTGATATGCTTTAGATGAAATGGAAAGGCCATAGCTTTTATTTATACTTATATAAATATAGTCAGTCAGCCAGGATTATTAAAAAGAGAAATGAATGAGTCTCCGCAAACCCCACTGGTGTTTTCTTCTGAGTCAGTCTAGCATCCAGCTTCCCACTTCTGCAGTTACTCAGTTCCAAGCGCCACCCTCTTCGGCCCGATTGTCGTTGTCACTCCTCGCTGGTCTCCCTGCCACAGTCCTCGCCCCTCTGCAGGCGATGTTCCACATGCAGCCCGAAGGACCTTTGTTAAATTAAACCAGATCAGGTCATTTCTCTGTCCCAAAACTCCAGTAACCAGAATGTAAGCGTCTCGAAGGCAGGGGTTCATGGTTTTTGCCCAGGCTTTCATTGAAACTCAGGTCAGCCTGCATCCTAAACCTGTGCTTTTTAAACTATGTTAAACTGCTCAGGTGTAGAGCGGCTTCACAACAATATTCGACTGGGTGGAAAACGTAGCTCCGTTTCAACCCCTGGGCACTAGGCTTATAAAAAGAGAATATTGTTGGTGCTGGAGGAGGCAGGCAGTGCTCCGTTACCAGGGAGCATTTGTCATCTCGGCTGCAGCCCCCCGGCCGGCTCCTCGAAGGCCCGGCGCCTGGGAGGCAGCACTTGTGTGGATATAGTGGGACCCAGTGTGTCCCCCTCAGAGCCGCTCAGAGTCTTTCCCTGTGGCTCCCTGTGGAAAGGCAAGAGGACGGATGCTCTTAATAAGATTTAAGCCCCGCGTCATGCTTTGCTGCTTGTGTTACTTCTCTGAAACAGCGTCGTGAGGCCGAATCAGACCAGGTTTTAAGTCTTTGTCACGAAGTGCGATTTCAGTGTGTTGTTTTTCAAATTTGGGAAACAGCTTCCTTATAGTTAGCTTTTACTGAGCAGACATTGTCACTCAAAAATGGTTCCACATACATCAGGTCTGTCAGTAACTTTAGTAACTCCAAGATACAATTTGTCTTCCCGACGTCAACGCAGTTGCCACCAAGCTGTTTATGCGGCAATAGGGGAATAGAATGTCATCCCATTCAGCTGATCTTCGTTGACCTTAAGTGCATGACCTTATATCTGTTTCCAAGTGCAGAGGAAGGTGACCTTGGGTAGATTAAACTCTGCCTCGCAGCGATTGCGCCACTGAGGAGAGCGTGGACAGCTAACCTGTGGGCTTAGAGTAAGAGGTAATCCCGACACTTTATCTTGAAGTAGCCAAGTGATTTGCCTTCAGTTCATCATTGGAAGGCCCCACGAACTGCCTAGAGTCCTCCTAACTGCATCTTTTGTATGTGATCTAACACCCCGCTGAGCATTGGGTCTTGTGGGGCAGGGTGTCCGGGTAAAGACATGATTAGAGGCTCTCCCTTCCTGGCCTGCAGGCAGGGTCTGTACACCCCCTTTCTACACGAACCTGCCCTGGAGATCAGCCCCGAGGGTGCTTCTTTCCTGTGTCAGTCACACTCTGAATCCGGCAGCCACACCGGTGAGAGAGGAATACACACGCCTCAGTTCCTTTCTGCCTCCAGGACGCAGATGAGAGGCCTTGCCATTTAAAAAAACACACAATAAAATCAACTCAGGAATCACTTATTTTATTCTTCTTCTCAGGGCTGCATCCGAAGAGGACTCTGCGTTTGGTGCTCTGGACTGCAGAGGAGCAGGGTGGCATCGGTGCCTTCCAGTATTACCAGTCACACAAGGTGAGAGCGGGGCATTTTCACGTGTGATAAGGTGCAAATGGCAATCCCGTCATTGTCCCGAAGATGCTCGGCAATACTGTGTGGCAGGCGGACCCCAGCCGGGCTGGGCTGCTCCTGCCGCTGCGTCTCTCGTTTAGGAGAGATCTCGCCAGCTTAGATTATTAAATCAGACAGAGATTTATTTATTTTCTGAATTGTGTTTATATCCTTCTGGATCATCTTACTGTTAGTCTCTATGACCCTTTTTTGGCTGGTTAGAGCTTAAGCATTATGAGTTCAGGGTTATGAATTTGGTCGCTGAATGTAGTTACTGTACAAAGAAAAACCATGTTGTTGCGTCAACAGTGGTTTTTCTCTTTCTACTGCTGAGTAGTTTTGTGTTGGACGCATTTTATCTGTTGTCCTGTGGATGGACATCTGGGTTGTTTCTAGTTGTAGCTATTATGAGTAACTCTGTTAAAGACATTTTTATACACATATTTTTGTGGGTGTGTGCAATTCTGATTTTTCTAGGAGTAGAACAGCTGGGGTTTGTCTAACTTGGTTAGAAACTTCCAAAGAGGTGGGAGACCACCATTCTCCATCCCCTCCTGCAGCCCCTGAGGGTCCTAGGTGCTCCCTGTCCTTGTTAATGGTTAGATTGACCTTATTTCAGTTTGGAGGAACACCTTGGAAGAGCAGGACTTAGAGATGCCATCCTGCTCATGACCGCAGGTGACTCGCTGGGACACAGATTCACACGGCAGGCTGGGGGCTGCTGCAACTTCCTTGGAGACAAACGAGGGCCTGACGAGAGAATGGTCCCCAGCAGGGTTTGGAGAGGGAGCTTTCTCTTATGCCTGAAAAAGAGGTTATCCTAGAAAGGGATGTGTGTGTCCAAAAATGCCTTTGTGCTATTCTTTGTTTATGGAATTATTTTACAAAAATATGAATTTCTGCCTGCCCGGCCAGTGTGGCTCAACAGTTGAGCATCGACCTAGAATCCAGGAGATCGAGGTTCGATTCCTGGTCAGGGCATGTGCCTGGGTTGCGGGCTCGATCCCCAGTCGGGGGCGTGCAGGAGGCAGCCAATCGATGACTCTCTCATCATTGATGTTTCTCTCTCTCTCTCCCTCTCCCTTCCTCTCTCTGAAATCAATACAAAGCATATTAAAAAAATATGAACTACTTTATTGGTTAAATTCATCTTGCATTCGCTGGGAAGGAAATGTCACCACATATAGGAGGGTATTATTGTGCTCCAGGGATTTTTAGGGCTTTACTTATAGGAGTGGAATTTCACTTTGGAATGAAAAACATTGTAAGTTATTTTATTGAATTTTCAAATCAGTGAATAAAACGAGTGTTGTCCAGATGCCATTTGCCTGATCTTTTCATGGGAACTATGTTCCTTTCTTCTCTACTCTTGGAAGGAGAACAGATGTCGTTTCTCATGTCCTGAACGGTACAAAGGAAAAGAAACACCCTAGAATCGTTTCAGCGGGATTGCTGGCATTTTTTAATCTTTTCCATTTTAAGCAAAAATATGATCTGGCATAATTATAGTGAGTAAGGTAATCTGGCCTGGAGAGAGCCTCGTTACACAAGATAATCAAATGGAATAGACTGATATGTTCTGTCTGGCACGAGAAACAGTTTGACTTTTTCCTGTTACATTGCGCAAACTGCTGGCGACTGGATTGCAGGGACTGAACTCGGCTGCGCTCTGGTCGTCAGTAATCGGGCAGTATTTTAAATAGACATCGTTAAACGACGGATGGGACGTATGATCTCTCTAAATGCATCAGTTTATCCTAACCCTAGCCAAGTCTCAATCAGAAAAAGTTAAAATGAATATGAATAGTATTTTGTCAGAATTTCTTGTGTTGCGATGCCGAGGAACAGAATATTAGAAATGCTTGTAAGGCTTCTTCATGTTATCTGGGCAAATGGTGTCCTTAGCATTTTTATTCCACCAACCCCTTGGCCCTATCTAATGTTAATTCAACTACCGTGACCTTGCTAGAGTAAGGACAGTTTTATACTCAGCTGCAGCTCTGGCTGTAAAAATAATAGCCCTGATGTACACGTTCAGCACAATCATGTCCGGACTGTGTCGCCACAGCGGCCTGCCTTATATCGTTAATGTTCCGCGCAGTGTAGACGAGCTAATCAGAGGTTATTGTCTCAGTCATCACCGCCAGGTTTTTATGCATCCAATGTTTTCCTGTCAGTGCCTAGATATTTGCATTAGTCTGTCAAGCGCATCACAAAATTGGTTTACATTTTACTTATCTCAGTGTGTTCTTGGTCTGGAGCCCCTTGTAGCTCCAACAGTCACATAATTTCGATATCACACCTGGGAGCTCTTTGGGGTCCTGTTAGAATTTATGGATTTCAAAAAATCATCCAAAGAGGTCTTCTAGGGATATGAAACTCACATCAATAAATGTTAAGATCATTCCATTATTTAAAAGATTATCTTCAGATCAGAGGCCCCCCAGGATACCACCTTAGGACATTTCCTGCTGCCTCTCATCTTAAAAGAAAAGCAAGAGCAAAACTCTAACCCTTGAGAGATGGAAATAGTACATGTGTGTATCTGTGTATGATTTTCCTACATGTGTAAAGCATAGATATGTTGGAAAATATATCAGGACCTTCCACAAATCACAAACCAAGTCCTGCTTCCCTTGTCCAGGGTAGCCATTCCTGATACACCAGAGGAGGGATACAGCAGGGTGGACCCCTGCTGGTGCTATTTGTAAAGATTTCTAAGGACAGAGATTGCACTTGTGTCAGTATATTTTTTAACATCAGACAATAGCATCTCCCAGGCCGTATCTACTTAGCCATGTCTTACTTTAAGGATGCAACTTAGAATACTAGAGGACCAATTCTAGAAGCAAGTAGCTCTGAGTCCTCCAAGGTGCACCTTAATCCTACCTGCCTTCGTGGTTTCTGAGTGAAGGCACGAAGGAAGGGGAGGGAAGTCAGGAGGCACCAGGATGAGCTGTGCATTGCGAAAAATATTTAAACATTATTTGCAAACTAAGCTCGAAGAACAAATAATTTAACACTCTGTTTTGTTTTTGTTTGTTTATATTTTTAAGAAAGGGGACTCTAATCTCTTCTTTCCTTGGTCAGGGATAAAACAATTTATAACCTTTAACATGTTACCCTTTTCTTCATAATTGAGAGTTCAATGTGTAGGTGCCCTGTCCCCATGGGAGCCAGCAGTTGTGGACTCTCAGAGTGAACTTTTCAAGTGCAATGGAGCCCACTTTTCTCATGACTTTCCGATTAGTTGAAGGATACCCTCTACATTTATGTGTCTAATACCACCTTCTTCTAGTAGGTATTTACCATTAAAGTAAGGTGGAGACATCTGTGTGATTGTTATTGACAGGGCAACCAAAGGATGGTTGCCTTTTATCTTAGACATGGTTCAAGCAGTTGATGTGTGAATGGTACTGAAATAAACTTTTACTTTTAAAAAACCCAACCATGTCTTCAGCAAGAACAACAGAATGTCAAATATCGCATTCTCAAATGTAAACTAGAAAATAATAGTGAAGCCCGAGGGAGGGACAGGGAACTGAAGAGGGACTTTGGGAGATTGGTTGGAAGAGATTCGTTATCTTTTTTTTGTGTATTTTATTTTATTTTTTAAGTTTATCTTTATTGTTGAAAGTATTACAGATGTCCTCCCCCCCCCCCAATTCAATCCTTTATTTTTTTTTTTTAATTTAAGGATTATTAAGGAGGGTGATTAGGAATAAAGCTTTCCACTCAAAATAAAACTCACCTGAGAAGGAGATGACTTTTGCCATAGCTCCTGGAATAAGAGCATCTTCCTAATACATTATTGAAGGAATTATAAGTTTTATTTGTAGTTAGATAAGGAATCAAAATGTAATTGTAGAGCCCTTGAGCCCCACTGCTCCTAACTGTTGGTTATGTTGCTTCAACATGCAGGAATAAAGTGAATGACAGGGCTGGGGGAGAGCCCCAGGGGCATTCCTTCTGTCCCTCCCAGGCGGAGCCGAGTGGTGGTGCAGTTTTAGTGCTGGTGTAACTGCCCCGGGACTGCCCATTCCCCAAGCTGCAGCCAGTTGAGCTGTCAAATAAAAACAGCCTATGGCACTCCACTTTGTCACCGACCCTTTCCTGGCTCTCCTTTGGGTACCCAAGGCTATTCAAAGCTGAATGCTAGAGACTGTCAGAAATCCAAGTCTGAACTTCAGGGTAGCCCTGACCAGCAAGGAAAGCCTGTCCTTGGCTTTGCACAGCAGGGAGATGCCCCTTTACCTGGCCCCCCATCCTGACGGGTGTTTGAGCTGGAGCTGTGTGAAGAAAACCTTCCCCCCAGCTTTACCCCTTGAACTGGGAATTCCAGGGTCAGGGGCACAGCTGGAAGTGGTGACCGCAGCAGCTGGGCACACGGTGTCATTAGCTGGTTTGGTTCTGGGAACTTGTTCCCAGCCCTCCACCTGACCAAACAGTATCCCCACCGTCATCTGCAGAGTATTAACCTTTCCCGGGGCAGGACGGTGCTACTGAGAACACTTGCCCTGGGTCAGGGCAGAGTTTGCCTTTTTGAAGATTGAATTGAGGAGGCTACATGATTAATTCAAATAATTAGTAGTCTCTTTGTCTCCTCATTTGATTGTGGGACTGCAATGTCCCTTTAGTTCAAAACCAAAGACATGTCACCTAAGTTAGGAGAAAATGAAAGCTCTGAAACAAAGCAGCAGCCAAGTTCTGAGGGAATGGAGATGTTGAACTTGGGCCCATATTTCTGAAGAAGAGTCTCCTGGAGTTTTATAAAAGCAAAGAACACCCGCGTCATCTTTGTGTTTATATTAGGGAGTAAGCGTTGTAAAACACGCAGCGCATATTTTAAACACTTTCCTTCCTTTTAACCTTGCTTTGCACCCGAAGAGTGCTAATGGTCACCAAGCTGCTCTTCGGCTGAGCACACGGGCCCTGAAAGAAGAAAAGCCAGGTGGTGGGATGTGACTCTAGCTCGAGACGAACTCAGGGACCCTCAGCCCTGGGCAGGTGCTGACTAATCCAGTGATCCGGGGGCATTTCTCCACATTGCCCTAGGGACGTCCCGTGGCAGTAAAGGACAGTTTCCTTGGCTCCTGGTAAAGAGATGCTTGTCTTCGGCAAGAGAGCAAAGCGGGGGCCGCAGACGGTGGCCGAGCGGCTCTGAGCAGCCCGCCCCCCCCAAGTGCCTCGTCCTGTCTCAGTAGGTGCCGGCGGTCGCAGCAGTGAGGCCTTGTCTCTAGAAGGGGCTTCCGACGCCCCGTAAACGGGAGGCCCGGGATCTTGTTGAATGTGCTGGGATGGGCTGAGTGACACAAGCGTGGCCCTGCCCCCCCGTCACCAGCAATGCTCAGCCTTTCAGACCGACGCTGAGTGTGTGCCCAGCGACTGTGGCACGGTGAGGGACACGGATGTCTGTGACGACACGTGCCCGAGGAGCAGCAGGTCTGGCAGCCCGGTGGCCCGGCTCGGTCCTTCCCGTTTCCCGGGGCAGAGAGGTTTCGGGTCCCCGTGTCCTTCGCCATGTGCGAGCAATTAGACAGCGAGCCCGTAAACGAGGAGGGAAGAGCAGTGTCCGGGACGGTGGGTGGCTTGTTTACTCAGCTCTTTATTGGGAACACATGGGGACGTTTCTACATAAATGGGAAACCATGGCCTGCCGCCGCCAGCAGCAGCGAGGGCCGAGCCCGTGGACGGGACCGAACCTGTGTCCCCCGTCTAACTCGGCCGGAAAAGGTGTCTCCTTCTTCCAGGCTCTTTCTTCCTCATCGGAAGGAACTCGCAGAGCAACAGTGTTTTGGGTTTTCACTCTTCTCTTTGCTGAATTAAATTACTTTGTTAGCAAAGACAGTAAAATCTGTCCAAGTAGACTTGTATTATGATCATAAAAAATACTTCGGACTCTGCACATTTGTGCACCTACAGTCTGTTTACATTACAGTGAGGCCATGCCAGCCAGTGTGGCTCAGTTGGTTGCGCACGGTCTCATGCATCAAGAGGTCACGGGTTCGGTTCCCCGTCAGGGCACAGGCCCAGGTTGTGGGCTCGATCCCCAGTAGGGGGCGTGCAGGAGGCAGCCGGTCAATGTTTCTCTCTCATGGATGTTTCTCTATCTCTCTATGTGTAAAAAGCAGAATTCTGCTTTGTTAACTTTCTCATCATTAACAACAACAACAACAAAACATTGGTCTCCCAGGGCCACCCTCTTCAGTCCTCATAAACCCTGGAAACACCCTCCTTTAGAACTCGCCTCTGCTTTTACTCTTGTAACAACATTTACACTATTCCATGGCAATAGTTAGGAAATCATTGTAAAAGGAATCTCTTTTAGACAAAAACAACAACACTTATGCAACCCTCAATGGGTTATGCAAGTGAAAAATCATTCTAATTCAGAACAAGCATTACCCACCACTCTACCCCGTGCTAGCAGTGGCAATGTGGAGTTTTGGAAAGCACATGACATTAGACCCAGCTCTACCATTTGCTAGCTGAGTGACCTTGAGCAAATTGCTTGACCTCTCTGATCCTCAGTTCCTTTTCTATAGAATAGCATCAATAGAGCTGCTTCTATCGGTTATGGAAGAAGATCGAAGGAGATTACAGATGTGGNCCATAGAACTGCTTCTATCGGTTATGGAAGAAGATCGAAGGAGATTACAGATGTGGAAGCTCTCTGGAAGCTCTGTCCAGATGTCATTATTGATTTTTTACTAGGCGAGAAACAAGAATAGTGCCATCCAGGAATAGCTTGGGAATCAGCCAAGTAGCTGTTGGTGTAGTGTAGTAGCTGGTCAGTCTTCAAGAAGTGGATGGCTCCCGGGAAGCAGCTCGAAGGACCTTAAAGTTGCAAGTCTTTGGTCAGTGTGGCAGTTTAGCTGTTCAACCTGGCGAGAGCCTCTTATGTGCTGAGCTCCTGTGCTGCCGATATTGGCCACCTGAAATCACTGTTTGCTTTCTCACCAGGCTTTATTTGGAAAGAGTTTGCAAGCTAGCGGCCTGGGAGTCCCCAGGGTTTAGAGGGCTGCGGTGTACACCAGAGAGAGCAGTGTTTCATGTGTTGTTCTCTTACCTCTCTCCCTGGGGATGCAACAGATGGAACAAAACACGAGAAACCCAAGACAGACCTGTCAGCGGGATGATTTAAGCTTCAACAGAACTCATGATTAATAAAAGACAGAGGATCTGTTTAGAGGAAAGAAGATAATCCATGGAGCCTACCTTCTTTTGTTTTGATATTGTTGTGTTTAACCCAGCTATGGATTCACTGGAAAGGAACAGAGGGAAGGCCGATGTTATAGGCAGGCCCAGTGAGGTCTAGGTGACACAGGGAAGATGATTACCCATCAGTCACACCTGGGAGCAGTCACTGGCCACCACAGGCGTGGCCGCTGGAAGGGCACAAATTCTGAGATACAGCAGCTCCTGACAAAGGAGCCCCCTCCCTCCTCTCTTGTGCTGCCCCCTGACTCCGGGCTTTCCGGGCTCCCATGCTCTGCACTCGCCCACATGCCCACGGCCGTGTGGACCCCACACAGTGGCCTGATGGACTGGAACTGGCCTGATGCTACATCGGGCCCAGCTCCACCATGGAACCGAAACTCGGGACACTGGCTTTGCTTCTAGCTCTGCTGAGTCCCCAGCTGCTCCTTTTCCGGGACTGGTTTAAGGGAAACAGGACTTTTGTAACCAAGGGATGTAACTGCACGCAAATAAAGCTTTCTAGACACCTCATCCTCCCGTGGGGGCCTCCGGAAATGCTTATTCCAGGGGCACCCCAGGAACCCCACTCCCACTAGCAACAGAGAAGGGCAATCCACGCAGCCCTCTGATAACAGTTGAGCATCGCTAATGCCATCTGGAGGTGCCGCACCACATGGGAGGAACTGCATCCTGGTACGCAGCAGGCACTTCAGAAAATTGGTTGAAAGGATATTATGGCTAGTAAAAATAATTGAATAACTCTAATATGGGTTTTTACATTTCTGTTTATTATGTTTTTTAAACTTTCCATGTCAACTCGAGTTTGGCAAATCCCAGGATGAGTAATTGTGCATCTCAGGACAGTTAGGTAATATGCAGACCAGGCCCTCAGTTGGGCAGAGCAAGATGTGTTTTGGCAAGAACTGGAGAAGAGATAAAGTATTTGATTTATAGTTGTTGATAGTTCCCAAGGAGAGAGCAAACCAGCAACAGAAATAAACCAAACACTTTTGTCTTTTGTTTAGGCGAATATTTCCAACTATAGCCTAGTGATGGAGTCCGATGAGGGAACCTTCTTACCCTCTGGGCTGGAATTCACTGGCAGCCAGAAGGCCAGAGACATCATGAAGGAGGTCATGAGCCTGCTGAAGCCCATCAACATCACGCAGGTCTTCTCTGATGGAGAAGGGACAGACATTAACTTCTGGATCCAAGCTGGAGTGCCCGGTAAGACCAAGAGATACAGTTGAGGTTCCTTATATACTGCTACAATTTAAAATAAAGTTTCTGTTCTTGCCTGCCACAGTGAATACTGATAGGACATTTCATGCATGGACACTCTAAGCTTTTCGTCTATAAGGTATAATCTGATCATTTCCAAACCTGGGATAATAATACTCACTTGTATTTGTTTACCATATGTCTTCTTTTTCTAAGTTATAAGTTTCTCACTCCCAGAGATTCTGACTTAATGATTCTGGGATTAGGCCTAGAAACCTCTCTCTCCTTTTTTAAAAATATGTATCTTTTGTGATTATAGTAAAAGTGATCTCACAGTTAAAATTTGAGAAATAGTCTAAAGCAATTATTACCACTAATATACTTCTAGTTCTAGTCCTGTACTAGGAAATTTTCTTGGACCCAAATAATTCCCTCCCCAAATACTATGGTGTCTGAAATTTTACCATTAGAGATTTATTCTTTGAGAGTGGGTTATTTCCTGCTAATCACTTTATTTCTAAGGCAGCGATTTTCAACCGGTGTGGCAGAAGAATTTTTAAAACATGCAATACCTGACTAGTTAGGGACAAAGACCTCCTTTCCCTTAGATTGTCAAATAAAAAATGACAACAAGCACACAATAATAGGCATCGGGTGTGAGTGAATCAAAATTATACCTATTTTTTTGTCAGGTCGACAAAAAATCTATTTTTGTGGTGTGCCGCAGAATTTTAGTAATGAGTTTATGTGCCATGAGATGAAAAGGTTGAAAATCGCTCTTCTAATGCAAAGATTCATGTAAGAGATTGGACATAAACTTACCCAGATCGGTGATTTATCAGGCTGATATTTTTAAAACAAGTCCCAAGCAGGGAGGAAATCATGTAACAGGCGTAGGCCTGGGGAGCTCACAGGACCAGAAAGTGGAACAGTCTTAAGGAAGACAAGCTTACACCACTTCACCAGTTTGCCCGAGACTGGCCGTGGGAAAGCGTTAATTGCTGATATTAAGTCCCTCTGACCTGAGGCTGTCCCCTTAACACGGTTATATACATAAGCAAAAACATTGTTAAAGGATCCACTTGCAGAGTATTCTGCATTTGTATTATGTAAGTTGGAAGTTCAGCTTTTAAATAGTTTTAACATTACTGTTTCCGGAACCATTTCTGTGGCTACAAAGCATTTCACAGGTTAAAATAAATAAAAGTGTCCCTATGTGCACCCCACTCCAGCTTTTTTTCTCAGCCTGCCATGTAGATTCCACCAACAACATACTACATGGATTTGTGATTCTTGATATATTGTAGATTTATAAAACATATTTTAGATTTTAAGGTTGATAAAAGTCTTTCATAACTAAAGATAGAAGGAGCTATCCTTTATTCTTTAAATAAAGGACCCAAATTCTCTCCAGTGGTTTTTGTATGTTTTAACTATAGTTTGAAATATCTGGAAACAACATTTCCATTTACAGTACTGTGCATCCGTCTAGGGGGAAGGAGTTTGCCCTTTTAGTTGTATAGATTGATTTTTTTGAATTTTAGATTTTTTTCCTGATCCTTAAATTTTTCAGTAGGAATCTCCTTAAAATTTGAGAAAAGCTAAATAAGTGTGCTGGCTTGTAGATGTGAGAAAAAGACTGACAGATTGTGGGTGAATTACAGTGGAGACTGGGGGTGGTTAAAAGGGAGGTGAAGAGCTGAAGCCAAAGACAGGAGTAGTATCCCCCAGTGCTAAGGGAGCACAAAAACATGTGCTCCCTCCTTCCAGGTGCAGTAGTCCCCCCTTATTGGTGGGCGATACATTCCAAGACCCCCCGTAAATGCCCCAAACCACAGATGTATACTATATATACTATGTTATTATACTATGTTATTTCCTACACGTACATACCTACGATAGAGTTTAATTTATAAACTAGGCACAATAAGAGATTAACAACAATAACTAATAATAAAATAGAAGAATTGTAACAGTATACTGTAATAAAAGTTCTGTGAATATGGTCTCTCTCTGATAACTGCTCTAATAATGGAGGTGATCATTAAGTGACTAATAGGCGGGTGGCATGTATAGTGTGGAGATGCTGGACAAAGGGACGGTTCCTGTCCCAGCCGGATGGCGTGAGATTTTATCACCCTACTCAGAACAGCGCACAGTTTAACACTTATGAATTGTTTATTTCAGGAATTTTTCATTTAATATTTTTGAACCACAGTTGACTGTGGGTAACTGAAACCATGGAAAATGAACCTTGGATAAAGGGGGGCTACTGTATGTCTTGCTTTTGTTGCACTGATTGATTGAAAATTGGCTCTAGCTTTATTTTTTTCGTAACGATATTCCATTTGTAATATCTGTTCGGAATTAATACTACTTTGATGTGATTGTATTCACAAAGGTAAAGAGGCCTTTCCCTCTCACCACAATGAGTAGAGAATTTGAGTCCCATTATGGTTGCTTAAGAATTAATACAAATTAGCCCCACTGTGGCTCAGTGGTTGAGCGTCGACCCATGGACCTGGAGGTCACGGTGTGATTCCCAGTTGGGCACAGGCCCGGGTTGCGGGCTGATCCCCAGCAGGGGGCGCGCAGGAGGCAGCCGATCAGTGACTCTCTCATCATTGNAGTTGGGCACAGGCCCGGGTTGCGGGCTGATCCCCAGCAGGGGACGCGCAGGAGGCAGCCGATCAGTGACTCTCTCATCATTGATGTTTCTCTCTCTCTCTCCCTCTTTCTTCCTCTCTCTGAAGTCAATAAAAACATATTTTTTAAAAAAATTTTTAAAAGAACTAATACAAATTACAATTTATTGAGCTCCNAGTCAATAAAAACATATTTTTTTAAAAAATTTTTAAAAGAACTAATACAAATTACAATTTATTGAGCTCCTACTATTTATCAGATGCTCAGACTCTCACAGACACTGTCTCTTTTTATCTGTCCAACCACCCTAAGAGATAAGTATAAGTGTCCTTATTTTGCAGATAAAGAAACAGACTCTGAGGGACTAAGTGACTTACCCAGGGCTATCTTGCTCTTACATGCAGATGTTACGCTGAGAACAGGCCACTATGGTTTCAAGGCCGGTGGCCCTTTTCCCACAATACGCAACGCAGGGGAGTCTGGAAGGCTGGGATCGTCTTCCAAGTCTATGGCAGCCTCTGAAATGTTTATCTTACTCGGCTCTTGCTTATGCAAAGGATTTCAGCTCATTCCTGCTCCAGAATAGCTTACCCCTGGGGAAAGGAGTTTGCTATTGTAAATAACCACTCACTACTTCTCACATTCTTTGTTCCACTCCCCGCTCTACCTCTGTCCATCAGGCAGGTTTATATAAAGTTGGAGGTTCATTGAGACTGCAACTAATATTTCCTGGAATTCTTTTTTATGTTCTTTAGACTATTGTAAGATGGAACCAAAGTATTGCTGTTTTCCACTATTCCTCTTGGGCTATCTTTTGGTATTTCAAGTTCAGGCTATTCCAGAAGGAAATAAGGGCACTGCTTATGTTAGAACTCTTGTTACCTATTGAAAATTTCAGAAACTGTAGAAAAAAATGAAGAACCATAGTTAATCTGAAAAAAGAAAATAAAAATGCACCAATTGTGTACCCTGTATTCTTGAGGATATGGCAAATTATAATGCATTAAACATAAAGATAGGATGCAAAATACTAATTACGTTATGACTTAAATAACTGCTCACCTAACATTTGAAAAATTAATGAGAAATCATATTTTTAAACTCCATCCTTTCTTCTCGTTTCTTTTTTCCATTGATTCAATAAATATTTCCTGAGTCCCTACCATGTGCTTGACCTATCAAATTTCTGTAGTCTGATAGGTGGGCCCTAATTTTTTTTGATGTTCAATGACATATACTCAATATCAAAATTCTAGTTAAGAGCACAGAGAGAATTAAAACTCAGCATGAGTTTTATTAATTATCAAAGCCACATAGATCAACTTAGGAAAGGATCATCTTTGGAGAGGAAACACAATGTCTTTCATCTATCTAGATGATGTCTACAATGGACATACATATAAGGCTTCATGGGGGGATATTAAAAATAAGTGTCTTAGATGTAGTTTCCATGAGACTCTTTGTTCCAGATGTCATACCCCAGCTCCCTCCCGTTTCCATCTCCTTTCACACTCCTTCCTATTCCTCCTCTCTAAATCCTGGATGCTCTTTAAGTCTCACTGTCTATTCAACATGTTCATGGATTCTTCTTTAACAACTACTGGAGCTCTATTGCTCGCTCCTCTGAATTTCTAAAACACTTCTATAGTCTACAGCCTGGCCCTTGAATTACACACCAACGTTTTTCTTGGATTAGTAGGAGTTTATGTGCATCCTGCTTCCCATCCCCAGCGATCAATTCTTTGAGGTTAAGGTCAACAGTTTCTGATTTCTCTGCCTCCTCTGTATCTCTCAGCTTAATTTTGGAAACATTTAAATTCTTATAAGCCTGACATGAGAGAAGAAGCTAAAACATAGAAATAATTATTTTCTCAACAAGCTCTGCGTCCTTCAGATTAAGTGTGGAGAAAATAAAGGATGCTGATGAAAGAGATATAAAGATAGAAAAAATATTGGAAGAATGACATAAATTAGGGAGGCTAGAGCAATTAGGATTTTTTTTAAAGGAGTAAAGACTAACAGATGTTGAATAATATCCTCTAGTACTTTAATGATTCTCAAACATAAAATGGTGAACAGTTGCTCTCTGACTCTTTCAAAGACGATACAAGAGCCTGACTTAAAGTAGAAGCGGGTACTTAGGTTAGTTTCTCTTCCCTCGGGGAGTGGAGAAGCTTTAAATCTTAAATGTTTGCCTGCTGCTTCCATGATGAGCTCCAGGTTAGAATGAGAGGAGTCTATTTCATTAGAACACGTCAGTGATGAGATAAAATTCAAGGTCCTCTTGAACACCTTGACCATCTCCTTTTCAAAGAAACTCTCCCATAAAATATACATTAATGGAAAAACATTAGAAACTC